TTAATTTACTAACATTTTCTTATGTTTTGAACAGCAAGAAGTAGTGTAGTTCTTCCCCTTTCCTTTCCTTTACCTTTCCTTCAGTTTTGTCTTCACAAAGTAACAGACTGATGCACTCTTCTGAGCAAAGAGAATAAATAATCCATTGGTGGCAGCTTTTACTGCAGTTGATGGATTGAGAAAAGGAAATTATTAGATATACGTTACAGATCCATGGTTTAAACATTGCTGGTAACGATGTACTTAGGTGCATACTAGCAGGAGCTGTGTAGTGGTATGTGTTTTAAAACCAGAAATATGCCCGTTGGAGTGGTCGATATGTTTCTGTGGGGTTCAATGGAACCAATTACCGCTTTAAGGCTGCCTGGAACCGCAGTGTGTCTGCAGAAATAAAGCTGAAACCACCAAACTTCAAATGCCCCATTTCACCACACAGGAGCATAATTGATTTGTATTAATGAGCCAGTGTGCTACTTGGACACTCAAGGGAAGCATCATTTCCATGTTCGGGAAAATGGATTTTAATATCCCATATGTGAAGAGGTGGAAGCGGAAGGTTCAAAGCCATGATGACCTCTGTGTCCACCATGAAAAGAAAGCACCAGCCCTCCTTACCAAAAGTCTCCACTGACAGGAGATTGAGATACACTAATGGGTGGGTGTGTGGTGGTGGTGTGTTTTCATGGCTGCATTCAAGCCTAACAATTTACCTCCATTGCTTACTGCTGAACTGTTAAATTCAGATGATAATACGACTTTACAAATCTATGAACTTACCAGTGTATAAAGTAATTTTTTTGAGCAGCCTTTGAAAAATCCTGTCACAGGCACCACTAAACTAAAGCGACATGTCAACAATTTCTTGTAAATGAGACACTGCAGTCTGTGGTGCTAATAAAACCCTGGCTGGGACGGCGTCAAGGGAGTATACAGAAAAAGCTGTCAAGGTATCATGGTTGCAGGAGAAGCAAGACTGACTCATACTTGTTTACCGAAGAAGGTAAAATGTAATAATAATGCCAGGAAGTAAGCACACCCGGTATTATTATTAAATAAAACTCCAAGACTTCTGAGAAAAATATCAGTATCCACATTCATTTGGTAGTAAACCTTTGTTTAAAAATTATGGATTTAAACTGATTACTGTGATGAAAGGTGTGCAAAAGTTAGTCATGCTGTCTGGGAAACAGCACCGTGGTGGTGCTAATTGAGACATGCGAATGGTACCAGAGCATTTAGCATGACAGGGAGAAACAGCTCTATGCACTGCAGAGGGTTTTGTTCCTGTTTGAAAAATTGATGCTTTATTCCAAATGTTGAAGTACAAGTTCATTCCCTTCTCTATTGTTCTCTATCGTCCCTCTCGCATGCATGCTCTTTGAAGAAGAGCCAGCATGATAACAGTGGTTAAATCCAAGGAAACAAAGCTAAGCATAATTTTTCGTGTTTCTTACATGACGTAGTACGTTTTCTAATACTAAAAATATGTGAAGTCCACCTACTGGCTTTGACAGAAGCATGTCAATATGTAGCATCATTTATATTAAACCTGTGTCTTCAAGCATGAGGCTCCAAATCCCCTGATTACTGACAAATAATAGGGGACCCCCTCCTTCCCTGTGGCCCCTGGCTCCTGAGGAGTGCTCCTTAGGGGCTCCATGGGTTTTTTTGTTGTTTTTTTTTTTTTTTTTTCTTTTTCTTCATGTCTGTAGACGGTGTGGCCTCTGAGAAAGTGTGGTCATCTTCTGTTTGCACTGCTCAGCGTGGTTACTGTGATTGACCCTTAGGAGCGCAGGACTTAGTGGGTAGCCTTGATATCTAATGTAAAGCTGTTGCTGTCGTTACTTTTAGGGCTCGCTGGGGTACATCCCTGCCTGTTGTGTATTTGTGCTGTTTGGTCTGTGATACTGTGCAGTATAGCTGAGCACGATTAAACCACCAGAATAATGCCAGACCAGTTAGTTTCTGGTATTTGGCTTCGTTCAAGGAGAAACTTGTTAAGAGAGCATAAAGCACTTCATCTCTCCATCCTTTTCTCTTTGGAAGACAGCACTAATAGGGGAAGAGAATAATTCATCTTTGTATAAATAAAAAAAAAAAGTAGACGGTTGGGAAAATACTTTGAGGAAGCCTGGAGTGCTTCTTTAGAACCTGAGTGTAGCTTCACACTTCTGTAGAATGGGAGTTTTTGCTTTACACTTCTGTACAATGAGAGTTTTTAAAGCCTGTTAAATAGGGTAATGACCTTCTAAGGCCCGATTTCAGGCATCTTAATTTTTTAAGTACATAATAAGGCTCTTAATTCCATTTAGGTATCTAAATCTGAGGTAAAACCACTTCTGTTTTCAGTGTTCCTTTTTCTTGAAACTTACAATACAATTTTTTTTAAAAAAAAAAGATTGGCCTTGATGCTGAAAATTTCCCAGCAAAATGCTATGGACTGACATAGCTGAGTTGATTGCTTTTGTGTAGCTAAAAACAGATGGATATTGGATGCCCACATACAAATTATTTTTGAAGTGGCTTTCCATGTGACTAATTTACTTTCCTTTGATTGTTTCAATAGGTTGTTTTTGTTGTCCTTTTTTAACTTTATGAGCTTGCCGGTATCTGAAAGTGATCATTCATATGAAAGGAAGAGGAAAAATAATTGCACTTTTTTAAACGCATGCTGTGTTTTAGCTTAGGTGGAGAGAAAGACAGAGAGCAGCTTGCTTTAATGTTGAAAGGCATATGGTGTCTGATGCTCTTGATCAAAATCTGCACGTCTTATACTCAGCATGCCTAGTTTAAATGTCTGTAGCTAGCCCATACTGGAAGCACCTTAACCTGGAGATCAGAAACAGATACTGGACTTATCCACCCCAATCTTGCAGTTTAAAGGTGATAGTGTCCATATAGCATTTATTTCATGCTCATAAAAAGGTGAAATACTTCAAGGTCAGAAAAATAAAACCAGAAGAAACCTATTGTTCAGAAAGAAGTTACTGAAAACAAAGTAGAAAATTTTGGACATACTACAATTAAAATGGCAGAGGAAAACCACACAGTGGAGGTGGTGAAATTTCTAAGCCAGTTCTTTGAAATCAAGACATTAAGAGAAGAATCCAGTGGTTTTGTGCCCCTTTTTCAGTCTTTCTCCCATGTAAATGGAAACGGGTCATCCCTTATTCAGACTCCTCCGCAAGTTAGACGTTACCACATCCATTTGTATAACCTACCTGGGCTTGAAAGCTTCATAATTACTTGAAGTCTCTCTTGTGTTTCTGGAGGCTAAATATTTTAGGGAGAAAGGAACAGGAGCTTTATTCTTGTTTGTGTAGAGACTTAACTTTCTTGTAGTAGAGTCAGGCTTGCAGCATACAAGATTTTTATCAGTAAATTTTTTAGTTTATTAATATCCTATTAATAAAGATTGTACTGTTCTCCTGTTTGCTCTGAGTTCACTTTCAAAGTTGTAGTAGGCAACCTATTATGAAATGAAATATTACAGGCTTGATCTCTGGAGGTGAAGGAGAAAAGTTGCTAATTTCACATAAAAAGGCTGTTCAAGCATATGCAATGTCATGAAAAAGATGCAAAAACCACTTGAGTATGAAGATGACAAAAAGTCACTGCATGTTTGAATATTTAAAGATCATTTAGTCATTAGTCGTGAATTTCGAGTGGCAGATCAGATTAACAAACCTGAGACCTTGCCACAGCTGGGCATTGAGCTAGGAAGCCTTCCAAAAGCAACAGTAGCAGTAGCTGAGTGTATTCTTTTTGGCCTATTGCCTGTGTATCATTCAGAATTCAGAGTGATCCCAGAAAATTCTTGACATATTAAGCCACCAAATGCATTTGATAGTCAACTGCAGTATTCCCTCCTATTATCCAAGACTGATTAAATCCTGAGAATTTTAGGCATCTGTATGAATTTAAAGCAGTATGATGGATAACAACATTTAACCCAATAGTTTGGGGTTTCTTTGTGAGCGTAGGGGTGTTTGTGTTGCCATCCAAATACACATTGATACCATGGATCTTTTGTGGATCTCTTACGTATTGGCTGTACAGCGGTGTCAGTACTGCTGAGCATCTGAGCTCGGCTGCACACGTTGGCTGAGATGGCACCTCATCAGCAAAACCATGTCGTCTTCACCTCTCCATCAGTGCTGCTGTCACACAGAAGAGTAAAATTGGGTCCTCTCCTTCTCTGGATGCTAGATCCTGAAAGGCAATGTCGTGGCTGTTATCTGCTTTGAGGTGCCAGAAGGAGATAAAACCTCGAAGGTAAAAGCTAGCAACAGTCACCTGAAGCACAAGTTCAGCATCTTGTGTGCTGACTGTGTCTGTCCTGTCCTTTGTGAAAAGAGACAGCTCTGTGTGCTCTCCTTGTAGAAGTGGCTTTTCTGTTCACACAACACTACTTTAACAACAGAACAAAAAACTGAGCGGTCAGTGTAGACAATTCCAGGTCAGTTCAACACTTGGTAGGTAGTCCTCTCTGAACAGCATTCAAGGTAGTCCATAGTGAGCCTCTGGGTAAGATGTCGCCCAAGTGAGAAAATCCCAAGGAACTCTCTCATTTCCATGTCCATGGGAACTGAGTGCATTTTGAGCTAATCTGAGCTTCTTTCAAAATAAAAATTGATTTGTTGACGGCAGCATGGAGCAAGCATTTTTGGAGTGTTACTCAGCTGTCAAAATACAGTATTGCTGATGGGATTTCTTTTTTCTTCCCTGTGCAAAAGGAGGAGCTCCAGTCTGGCATCTTGCTAGTTCTCTCACTGCATTGCTAATGTTGACTTTTTGGGGTTTTTTTAGCTTTTTCTGATTTCTTACTTGTTGGGACATTCCAGGGACCCTGATTCTTTCTTTTTTTATTTAAAGAGGAGGGAGGAAAATGGAGAAACAGGTAACTTACTGTGCTTATAGAGTTTCTGAATAAAATATTCTCTCTTGTTATCTTGAAATCATTTTGTAGCTGACACATTCTTACAATTTTTTTCTTTTAGTGATGATAAGGTAGTAGAAGAACAAGCAGAGGAAGATGAGGAACTAACTGTTGTGGAAGATGAAGATGCTGATGACGATGATGATGATGGTGATGAAATTGAAGAAGAGACAGAGGAAGAGTATGAGGAAGCAACTGAAAGAACTACCAGTATTGCAACCACTACCACCACAACTACAGAGTCTGTGGAAGAGGTTGTCAGAGGTAAATTCATGGGCGTTTAGCTTGGGGCTGGAAAACTGATACTGCTGCTTTGCATGTTTGCCCTTTATGACAAAAAAATGTTCCAAACAGCAAAATATCCTAAGTTGCAGCATTGTTATGCTTTGGTTTCTGTAATTTGCGCATTGAATCCCCTCCCCTTCCCCTTTCCCATTACAAATGCTCTTTGGAGATATCTGTCAATGAAGTGTGGTCGTTGTGTATGATGTGGATGGAAGCAGAAAGGTTGTTTTTATTTTAAAGTAACTAATTTGACTGCCATATGTAGCAAATGACACAGGAGAGGTATGTCTGTGGGTTGTGACGTGCGTGTGTTGCAGAAGGATAGGGAGTGTCAGTTCCAAGCAGGAGTTAGCACTAGCTGGTTTGGTCTCTTACATTAGCAGCAGTGATGAGTCTTTGTGCGATTTCCGTTAGATACCTGTTTCTGATATTTCTCCATGAACTAGTAATTCAGTAAAAATAGGTGAATTTAGAAATAACTATGCAGAAAAGCGAACCTAACTAATGAGAATTGGGGTGGAGGGGAATAGGAATGCATTGCCCAAGAAAGCAAACATGGAGTGAGGAAGAACTCTTCACTTCTAAAATTTGGTTTTATGATTCTTTGTGGTTATTAACATAACTGCATTTTAAGCTTTAAACTTTACCCTAATCCATGGACAACATAGCAACATAAAAATTTCAAATGCCACATTTCTCCTACTATACATAGTTGAATGAATTATCCTTATATTTCTTTTTTAATAAATACAATTCCATATGCTGTAAATATGTGTAAGATAGATGCTGATTTTTCTGCAGTGCTTACAACTTTACCAAAGTGCTAGAGATGGTGGCAGAAAATGAGATTAAAGGCTAGAGTTGAAAAGAAAGGAGTTGGGACTTGCAGGAGGCAGAGGCAAAATGGCAGTGATCGGGGCAGTCGTGAAATGAGGCAGAAGACATCTGGCCTGGTTCCTTTCCCTTCTGGTTTCCCACTCTGTGCCCCTGCGCATGTTTGGGACTGAAGTGCCAGCAGAGTCCCCCGTTTCGCACGTGACAGCATCCTTTGCTCCTGAACCATGGCACTGCTGTTTGGCAGAACAGGTAGGGAGCAGAGGGCTGCCGGAAAGGAAAGCAGAGTTTACTACTTTTAGGTTTTTCTGTTTGGTCTACGTCCAGATAAGCTCGCTAATCACAAGCGCTAATGCTTCGCTGAAATCACTTGCGAATGTTTCTTTCTAAGGCTGGCAGCACAGCCTGGTGCGTTTCTGTCTTATATAACTGCGTTGAGTGTTTTGCTCAGTTATTGGAGAGCCAGTTCAGTGAGGAGGGGGCGGAAGGAGATTAAGTTTAAATCTTTAAACCAATTAAATATATTTCCATATGTGAGCTTTCACCACCTGGGGATAAAACACCCTGTTCTCACTGGTAAATGAATACTGAGAGAGAAAAGGAGGGGGGGGGGAAGTACACTTGACTTTAATGGGATTTTGGATGAGTGGAAATGAGGACAAATTAGGTAGAACGTGTTTCTTTACTGAGGTTGACATTTCAAAGAGGTTAAAATGTTTAGCTTTCAGGAAAGTAGCGTGTAATAATATGAATGTAAAATACAAAAGAGATGAGGCGAACTATTGAAGCCACCTTTTAAAAATCCCTTAGAAATGTATACACTTGCTAGCTGATAATGAAACGCTATTGTCCTGTTTTCCTCAGGTCTAAAATTTGCCACCTTGGGTGACTGTGAGTGAAATATGTGTTGCTGCAGGTGAGGTGGGGGCAATCTGTTACCAATACAGGTTTTAAGTGCAGTTTTTCCAAAGCCCTTTGGGCTTTCTGACCTCCAGCCTTCCTGGGGCACGGAGGGTGTAGAGATCTTCACTGAATGTGTGTACCTGGTATCTGACAGAGCTTACTATGCAAAATGCGTAGTAGAAATGTAAATGTAGAAGTGTACAATAACTTATAGCTTTGGCCCTTGCTTCTGCTTGCCTTGCTGCTCTTGAGAGAAAGCTTCCTGCAGGGCCCCTGTCCTCCTGATGCGGCCAGAAGGTCCAGCATAGGAACTTCTGTGGTGGGCATCTCCTGCTGTCTCACTGTTGCAAACAGAAAAGTTTGTTGCTGTCAGTGCAAATGAAAGAGACAGAGGTACCTTGCAGACAATGTACGTGTTAAGAAGTGGCCCATCCTGTGGAGATACCTTGAAAGCCTTTCCAGATGGGGTTAAGTGTCAGAGCTTTGTTCAAACTACTTCTCCCAAGAGTTACTCAGTGCAGTTCATAAAGCATATCCTAGGATGCTCTTCACAGACACTTTACAGCCAGTTTTATGTGTGCTTTATGAAGCTATAACTAATATTATGTCATTAGCATAAAGAGCAGAGAGTGGGTTTGTCCAATTTGAGAGGAGTTGCTTTTCATATGTGAAATCAACAAAGAGCAACTGTTCTAAAACCATAAATTAGGATCTAATTGTGGGCTGGTACTGAGCCCTTTCTCCCCCAAATCAATGGAATGATTGCCGTCAACCATAAATAATTGAAAAGCATAAATGTAATGTCATACTTTAAAGACACTTGAGCTATTGTAGAATCAATTTGTCAGGCAATTTTATTTCTATGCATATTTTAATGAATCGTGATCAAAATAGCAATAGCAGAACTACTTGCGAACTTATTTCCAGTGAAAAGCAAGTTAGTCTTGCCTGGACAATGGGAGAGGTCATTGGCAGGAGAACAGTCTTTTCATTAAGTTCTACAGCAACCATATTTTTATAGGCTATAGTGTTTATTCAGAAACGTGAATCAATTTTTCCTAGCACAATATGTTCCAGTCTTCACTTTCCTACCTTTTGTGAAGGACCATCTCTACTCTCAGTTCATATGGGGTAGGGCAGCAGACCCAGTTTAAACTTTCAGATATGCTCTTGCTGGAGTTCAGATGTTGAATCCAGCCAATTGTGGGTCTGAGGTTGCAGGGATCCAAAGGGTGAAATTAATGTCATGTCGACATTTTTCACCTTCCATCACGGGGAGATGTTATCACTGAATTTGTGCTGAAGAAAGTGTGGCTCATTTGTGAAGCCCCGCAGGTAAACTGTGGCTCTTGACTTTTGTCTCTATATGGAGCAGGGGAGGTGACTCTCGGCTGGCCAGGATTTAAGGAAGGGAGCAGTTTGTTTTCTGCTGTCATCGTCGCAGCATCGCGGGTGTTGCAGAGCTGCTCCTGAGGCATCTGTGCTCCGGGTGATTCTTCCAGCGCGTGACCGAAGCAAGCAGGAGCACTGCTCTCCCAGTCATGTGCAGTTGTTTGTGATTTCGTTTCTGCTCTCCTTCAGCACAGTAGGTGACAAGAAAAAGCAGTGTCTCTTGGCATACAACAAAGAATAAGCAATTTCGGCTTAGTGCTTCCTGTCAACACAGCAGTCAATCAGGTCTCGTTTAAAGGAGAGCAGCTGGGTCAGCGCAGCAGCCTGGCAGAAAACACTTGGCAGCTTCTTCGCATACCTATCAGCAGATGCGGGGGATTCAGCAGCATAAGCTTGACCTGCCTCGTCTAGCGTATAATGTTGCCCTTTAGCAATCGGTTTTGCTTTCTCTAATTCAGCTGGATTTCTTTAAGCAGTTAGGAGAGAATTTAAGCAGTGCTGCTTGACGTGACATTTTAACTGTGTTTACAATCTGGAGTTGCAAGCGAGAGACCATATGCTGGTTTCCTAGTAAGAGAAAAGTAGCTGGATGTTTATATGGTAGCTCTTAGCTTTATTGATCTAGCATGGTTTTTTTGTTTTCTGAAGACTTATGTCTAAAAGACTTTAACTTCATGCAGTGACAGCTACCATCTATTCTAAGGAAAGGGAGGATATCCTTGATTGCTAGACCTACCAGCTGTAAATTTTGGGATGATGTTAATAGTATATATTAGGTTAATTGGGCTTTTTTCACCCTCAATATCTTTGTCCCACTTTCTTCTTTGAAAGTTTATTATCTTTCTTTTAAAGTAGTAGTTCTTTGTTCTTCATTTGCTTCAAGACTCCACAGTATTTAGTTGGAAAGTGATAATGTGTAGTTGTATTCCCTACTAAGAAAACATCGATACATTGCAATTTGAACAGTACACGTTATGATAACTCTACTGTTTTTTGTTACGAGATCTTCATTAAGAATGATAACATCTAGCATATGGGAAAGAGCTGATAAAGTTAACCTAATGGATTTGCATTAAAATAACTGATAGCTTTTAATTAGACATTAAAATCTAAAGCACAGCTATTCCACCGTTATATAATACTTCAAGATATGTCGCAATTAGAAGAAATCTTTTTTATGATCTATTAATCTTGTTGACAGAAAAGCAATATATTATTGCCATTTGGGGTCAAGGGCAAAAGTACTGAAATACTAAACACAGTGATAATTTTGTTTCGCGTAAGGCTGGAGGGTGGTTTCATTTGAAATATATCCTGCCAGAAGAAATCCCCCCAGAATCTGTTTCCCTAGAGAAAATATGATTTTACTATATTGAAGCAATAATGAATTGAATATTTATGTAAAAAGACTGGAATGCACTTTGGGGATAATCCTTATATTCACTGTCTTGCCATGTTAGCATAATGATGATGTTATTTGGCAACTATACCTTTTTTAAAAATATACATAAATTCATGACATTTTATTGACCTACATTTAAAATCAAGCTGGGGTTTTTGTTTGCGTTCTGGCCATCTGCAGTTAACTACATGACACCTTGGTTCAAAATGTAGTTGTATTGTGTGTAAGTAAACAGAAAATGTATTTTCACATAGTTGTCCCACTTCAGAATTGTAAGGCTTTGTATTCTAACCAAGTATACAATTTTTTGTATTCCAAATATCCCCCTCCAGTAGCTTAAGAATAAACATTAAAGAGAGAAATTCAATCTTAATTGCGCAGGATGGAAATTACAATTTTAGGGTATTTAACAGTTTTAGAAGAGCTGTTCTTCAGTATTGCATTTAGA